CAAGGATGAAGGACCAATCGGGTATCGGCCGTGGGGCCCTGATGGCTCATGTCGTGGCGGCCCAGCATGGTCACTGCCGGCCGCCCAGCCGCATTTTGATCTTCCATAGCAGAATACAATCAGCTCGGATCAGAGACGGCTTTCGGGCTTTGAACTAAAAAAATAAGAACCAAAAAAATAATATCAAACGAAATTAAGTATAATGCTGAGATGATTGAATAAATATTACAAATACGGCATAAAACAAAGCAATTATTGAATGCCCGCTCCTTTTGTCGGAGTAACAAACGAATACTCGGAGAACGGAATCGCCAAGGACACATGCCCGCTCGGCAGTAGCGCCTGTAGCGAACTCCTAATTTACGCTACGTGAAACGTGACGCACTCCACATGAATTGAGCACCGTCTTTGTGACGAAATGTTTCTGGACTCCAATTTGTGCGAATTTATGAGAAAATTATTCTACCATGCACTTCTTTTAGTATGTTTTGGAAGAATTTGTTCATTTAAGCATGTTTCATTAAAGACCGGAGAATTTGTTTTATTGACAATCTTCTTCTTAGTTTTTTTCTATATATCGTACAATATTTTTCGTTTGCAGTGGTAAATAAAAAATTAGTAACGAAAGACATTTTTAATTCGTTAACGAGGTTTTGAATGTATTAATCATTCATTATAAAGTTACAAGACGTATTGAGCGATGAAATTTGCACAGAATACCCAGTGAGCATTATGGTGGGCTATAGTGCAGTAGTGGTTGTTGTATTGTGCAATACAACCACTCCGGGTACAATACTGTAACGGGAGTACTTTAGCGCACTGTATTGTACCGAGACCCTGTAGTACAGTATTGTACCGAGACCTAGTGATACAGTATTGCACCGAGACCTTGTGATGCAGTATTGTACCGAGACCTTGTGATGCAGTATTGTACCGAGACATTGCGATGCAGTATTGTACCGAGACCTTGTGCTACAGTATTGTACCGATACCCTGTAGTACAGTATTGTACCGAGACCCCGTGGTACAGTATTGTACCGAGACCTTGTGATGCAGTATTGTACCGAGACCTTGTGATACAGTATTATACCGAGACCCTGTGGTGCAGTATTGTAACGAGACCCTGTGGTACAGTATTGTACCGAGACCCTGTGGTACAGTATTGTAACGAGACCCTGTAGAGCAGTATTGTACCGAGACCCTGTGGTACAGTATTGTACCGAGACCCCGTGGTACAGTATTGTACCGAGACCTTGTAGAACAGTATTGTACCGAGACCTTGTAGTACAGTATTGTACCGAGACCCTGTGGTACAGTATTGTAACGAGACCCTGTGGTACAGTATTTTCCCGAGACCTTGTGATGCAGTATTGTACCGAGGCCTTATAGTACAAGGCTGTTACTACTTACTAGTGTCACCATGTTAGTTGTTAGCCAGAGGTGGGCAGTAGCGCGCTACAAGTAGCGGTAGCGGTAGCGGCGCTGCATTTCAGCAATTGTAGCGGTAGCGCCCGCTTCATTTAGAGCATGTAGCGGTAGCGGTAGTGGCCGCTACATTTCAAAGTAGCGCTGCCCAGCTCAGAATATATGACGTATTTCTGCAAGTTACCTATATATGGAGGCTTCGCTGGAGGTTAGAGAGGCAGAGGAGTTGAGTACTTAAATTGAGGAGTTTTATCTGTTAGTCAAATCAGTGATGTTTTAATTCAGAAGATGATTTGGAACAGACTTCAACCAAAGCCCATCCAAATTCTACCAAAAGTTTGCTTTGTGGCCGTGATATCAGGTGCACAATACTCGTCCGCCGTGTCTGCCGAGGAGCAGGTGTACGTCATCTTTTTCATTCTGTACGTGGGAATATTTGGTTTACTGAGCAGTATGGTTTTGGGCTTCATCTGTAATGAGAAACAGTCCAAATATTTATTACTTAGTTAGTTTACAGATCGCTTGCTCATGAAAAAACGAGAAAAGTACAATGCTCTCAGTGTAAGTAATAATGGCCTGCAGAAATAGGCAACAATTGAGGCGTAAATCATAAGCATCAAACGTCAAAACGTTCCTACATAAAAAGAATAATCCTATGCCCAAATTTCAAGTAAAGAATAGGAACCATGAACAAACATTGACAGATTAAACAAAGATTATTCTAATTACGTGGCCTAACTCTTTAGAGGAGTGTTTGAGGTGGCCTTTACCACTGTCGTCGTAGGGAGGCAATTGGCCCATGCATTCTACCTACACATCGAGCTGCAGGATCTCTTGACCGAGCCTGGTTGTGCGATATGATGGTTCGACAGGAAAATCCTATATTCTTGAAATTCATATTATGCAACATATGAACTTTTCATTGTTTGTGGGTCGTCAACCTGTCGAAACTTATGTTTACAACTAACACTTCTCCCTCACGTTATTTGTCTCAATATTAAGGCTGAGTAAATTTGAGGGAAACTAAGTTTCTGGAAGTGCATAACGGCCGGAAAATATGAGGGTTTGGATGTTGTAAAGAAGGAAAACAAAATCTCAACTTCAACAGCATGTTTATTTAGATTTTACTTGAAGGAATGCACGCGCGCTCGACACACCGCAAATCAGGAGCTACCCATACATTTAGATTTCAGGTAGCCGCTATTGTTGCGAAGAAATATATTAATTTCGAAATATCGCAGTGTAAATAGAGAATTGGTTAGGTCAATAGTTACAGGATTTTTTAAGGTCAATAGTTAGATAATTAGTTAGGCAATTTGAGACGATACAAAGTTGAAGCATATTTTTATAGGTAAGGCCGTGAATGCATAAATAAATAAGTAGTTGCCGGTATAATAACTTGCCCTGCAAAACTGTTATCCACGAAGACATGCAACACAAGAAGCGAGATAACCAAGCAAAAAACTGACATGATAAACAAAAAAATTAACCCTTCTTAAGAAAGCTTACTACTTCATCTCTACAATATTCATCGATCGTTAATAGCACAACTTTTAAACCGTAAGTGTCCATTTTATTTGTGCAAGTTTTTCGTGAATTTCGCAGTAGAATACCGTAATAAAATCAATAATCGACGTTAGCAATATATAAGTGTAATTCTGACTTATTCGTATGAACATAACTTAAATTGTTAACAATAATTTAGCTTGGAGAAAAATTATGTATTGTCAACATGACCGTGACCCTTCATTGATCTATTTCACAAAATTAACATAGATGACTTATTTTTGCAAGCCTGGCATTGGTTCCGGCAATCTGATGCATCTATCAAAGTATACCAGCCTGCATTTTCTATAAAGCTCTGAAAACATTGCGTGAGTGGAAGCTTTTCTATTTACTTTACATGAAGACGTTTAAGTTGAAACCATAGCGTAAATGAACAGAATCTATGAGCTACAATCCTATAGTTATTGAATTGCTTGAACCCCCGAAAAATAATATCGTTATAGAAAGACTGACGTACATTCTAACCTTTCCGAGACGGGGCAGTATCACCCATTCGGTGCTGCGAAATTCTAAGCGGATTAAAATTTACCCACTGCACCTGCATTTATTTACTTCGGCGGTAAATTCTTAACAGTATATCTATAAACCTATATTTATTTGGTTTTTCGAAATAACATTACGTAATTCTTTGGGAAGAAGCCTTGTTTTAGAAACTACTGACGAAATTCTGGCTATTCAACAGTGAACTAATAATTTAGGCGTTCATGTGTATTTGTTTTGCACTTCACGCCTGTGACATGGTTTTTCGTTTGTCTTGCCTCTGTGTCACATATTCGCAAGCTTTCAAATAGAACATATAAAAGTATTTTCAATTGTAAGACTGCTCTCCCACTTTTGCAGGTGACTGGTCTTATTTGGATTGGCTATCCCTCCAAAATATCATTTTGCGTATTTTGGTTTCGTAATAGTTAAAATCAACCCTGTTATCTTATTTAGAAGAAAAATATCGTACGTATTGCGAGTCCCACAGCTTGGGTTACAGTGAGCTTTTTTTACTTTAGGTGGCAAAATATAAATGGTAAAATCAATATTTTTATTTAAGTATAGGCGATATCTAGACAGGGTGTCCGGAAGCACTTCGTCACACCGGACACGGCGACCGTGCTGCTCATGCTCAAGTCTTTCGCGGTTGTCCCGCTGAGGTCGCCCAGAGTCCTCACCTAAAATGGAAAATTCGTTAAAAGCTACGCAGCTCGGTTCGGTAGAACTGGTAAGTTTTCAACTATAGCTGACGTCCCGGTTGTCTCGCTATGAACCGGGACATCCCCCATGTGTCTCGGTGGTTTAGAATGTGTAGGTAGCCTTTCCCTTTACCACGTTTTACTGGTATAGTATCATATCTCTGTCTACTTAGACTTTGATATTTTGTGCTCCTCTCGGGGCCATCTACAACGAAGATGAGAATATTATTATGTTAAAAAATCCCGGATCCATTGCGCCCTATTCTTTTCTTCGAATTGGTGAAGTACTTGCCACGTGATTTTTCTGTTTTCAAGACTCGTTCACATACTTCGAATAATTTACAAGCACTTGATCGTTTGAGATAGCCAAGATAAAACGCATATATCAAGATTTACTGAACCAGTTAATCAGCCCCCTTACCTTCAAAAGTGGTAATACTAAATTTCTGAAATTTAAACTCTCAACAATTCTGTAGACAATACTTTAAGCATCGTGAGACTAGCTCTATATCGAAGCAGTTTTGATAGCCAAACGTTGAACCCATTTTCGAACGTCTAAACTAACATCTTTCACTAAATTTTAGACACGTGAATTTCTGTATCTTTTCGGCTGTGAGATATTTAGATATTTGAAACTCATAGCCGTGTTGAGCAACAAATTCTAATTTTCCATTCGTTTTCGCTTGTTTGTTGAAGGAGCAAAGAACGGTGCAATTTATATCATACGCGTATTTTACTTAATAATTTTACTTGAAACACATCTTAAGAATATTTGAGTTTTTGTGGGACTTTTGAATTATTGTTTGAGAAAAAGTTGTGTTGACGCGGAAGAAATTCATTTCTAGATGAGTCTCTCATACCGGAAATGTCCCGGTTTTGCGCGTGTGTTCAGGTTCCTTGCGTCGGTTAAGCCACGATGACGAGTTCATCGCACGGTCCTGAGCGGGAAACTACTCGCTAGAGATCCGTCTCTGCGAGCCTGATGACCGTTCCTAGTTCTTCCTTGTGGAGTCTAGGAGGGGCCGTGCGCCGGCTGAGTGGTATGCTCCGACTTTTTGTCCGTTCTCCTCATGGAGACCAATAAATCTTGAACTCTCTCTACTTCGTTGGATATGCTCCTCCAAAACCTTGATACAATGAAATTAGTCAACAATCATGCAGGAAATAAAATGCTGAGTACTTCGTACTTTCAAAATATTTATTCTAACGCAATTAAAGTTTTATTTGCTAACACGATTTTTCATACTATTGCGTGCAAAATTTTATCATTGCCGTCCAATATCTAAGTTGATCAACTGCTCTAAGAGTAAATTTTTGATTGACGGATTATTTCATTTGTAGAAAAATGAAATTCATCGTGCGTTTGGTATGTTTCTTTCTGCGTGCGTGTGACGGGTATTCCTTAACTAATGTCGGGATCGACAAAATTCCTGTTATTTGAGATGTGTCTGGATTGTTGTATGAAATGTAACGCTTGGACTCCCTTGAAATTAAGAAATGTGTGTTTTTCAATGCTAGTTGAGAGAGCTCAGATAATTATCACACAAGTGTCTTGTTACGACCGATCATTTTGAAGGTAATAAAGTTTTCCTAGCTACGCCATTTGAGCGTCTATTTTTGCTCTTCAGCTAAAAGTCAAGTCTTTCTGCCAGTCGGGTTAACGAATGCTCGGCCACATGTTATAAGTATCATTTGTGATATTGTATATCGATCATAGATCATTTTATATCCATGAACGACTTCCGCTATCAAGCCGCATATGATCAACCGCAGTTAAACAATTAATTTGAAAGTAATTATATCCCACGTTACCAGCCAGGTTCCATTTTGCTCAGTTACACCCCTAAAAGAAGCATTTTCTTGAATTTATTTCCATGTTTTCAGTGTTGGTGAGCCGGTGTCAAGAGTTTTGCGTTAACAGTATCGCTTCTCGGCCTTTTGGCTAAGATCAAAGTGTAGTATCTGTTCTTATCAGCTTAATATCTGATACGACCCCCATGTGGGGTCAACGATATTAATCTGATTTTTGGATCATGGCGAAGTGCTAGGAGCTTGCTCCACCTTTGCCGCGGATCGGCCCGGTATTGCACTACCTCCGGGATCGGTCCACGAAATAATCTCAGTATCAATCTTCTCACGTAATCTATTTCCTTCAACTGCATTTGCATTCCCTTTTCTAACTAAGATAGTTCAGATTCTACATCTCAAGTTGAAATCCAACTGAACATTAGCACGTGGCCTACCAATATTTGTTGTTTCGTCAGTGGTATTGTTTGAAATGAGTTTTTAAGTTATTCCTAAATACAGTTACGCCCAAGCAGCTTACAAATAGTTCTGACAATATTTTAAAAATGATTGTAATGCTTGCTTACAGGATTTTCCGACCTGGTGTATTTCAAAGTTTTTTCTAATGTACGACTCTGGCCTTTTTGCATGCATGCCGTGAATGTTTCTGAATGATTTTCGAGATGTGAGTCTGCTGTGGAGACGGTTCATTTTTTTGTAACCGTGACAAAGTCACGGTGCACAAACATTCCTGACGTCTACGTTCGTTGGAATTTTGATACCCTCCCGCTCCANAGATGTTAATTTAGACGTTCGCAAATGGGTTCAACGTTTGGCTATCAAAACTGCTTCGATATAGAGCTAGTCTCATGATGCTTAGAGTATTGTCTACAGAATTGTTGAGAGTTTAAATTTCAGAAATTTAGTATTACCACTTTTGAAGGTGAGGGGGCTGATTAACTGGTTCAGTAAATCTTGATATATGTGTTTTTTATTGGCTATCTCAAACGATCAAGTGCTTGTAAATTATTCGAAGTATGTGAACGAGTCTTGAAAACAGAAAAATCACGTGACAAGTACTTCACCAATTCGAAGAAAAGAACAGGGCGCAATGCATACGGGATTTTTAACATAATAATATTCTCATCTTCGTTGTAGATGGCCCCGAGAGGAGCACAAAATATCGTAGTCTAAGTAGACAGAGATATGATACGATACCAGTAAAACGTGGTAAAGGGAAAGCGTAAATTCGCCGTGCTGAGGTGCTTCTGGACACCCTGTCTAGATATCGCCTATACTTAAATAAAAATATTGATTTAACCATTTATATTTTGCCACCTAAAGTAAAAAAAGCTCACTTTAACCCAAGCTGTGGGACTCGCAATACGTACGATATTTTTCTTCTAAAAGCGATAACAGGGTTGATTTTAAATATTATGAAGCCAAAATACGCAAAATGATGTTTTGGAGGGATAGCTAATCCAAATAAGACCAGTCACCTGCAAAAGTGGGACAGCAGTCTTACAGTTGAAAATACTTTTATATGTTCTATTTGAAAGCTTGCGAATATGTGACACAGTTCTAAAGTTCCTCGTCTCTTCGGTGGGTGCTCGAATTTTTTGCTGTGTTCTCATTGCCGTTGTTATATCTTTGAGAAGCAGTTCGAATTCATCCCAGTTTTGTTTCGAGCCAGTCCGTTGAGAGGTGCGATGAATTGTTCAAGCACCCACTCAGTCGGCCCTTCTGCGTCATTGGTTGTGCGAGTGTTCTCAGTCACTTCCGTGCTCTCGTTGTGCTCTTCATCAGCAATGTCGATGCTGTCGTCCCGCTCTTCATGAGCGGAGACTTTGCTAGCCACATCATCTTCTTCGGTCTCGGGAGTAACTTCTGTAGGCGTGCTATTCATTGTTTGTTGCAGTTCTACAGCAATGTCGTCTACAGCGTCTCCAGTTGGAGCGTCTATTTCTTGAGTCATTTGTTCATTTGTTTGATTAAGATCCCTCTGCGTTTCTGCGGCTGGTGGACTGTCTTGGCCGTTTTCTATGGCGTGGACCAGCGCATTTCGGAGCTCTTGCGCATCGCGTCTGTTGTGCCTTGCGATGTGATTCAGGAGGCCCCGAGCTGTGGGGAAAGATTTGTCGCAACTTTCTCGGGGGCAAACGTGGGTGTGGATTCTTGCCACTATCTCCCTTGCAGGTGCTGCTGTACATGCATGGCGTGAAGGTCTGATGCCAAGGGCGGCGTCGCACCCAGCACATGTGATGTTGAACGTCGGTCGAGCGATGAGGTGTCTCCCTTCCAAGTGTCTGCATAGGGTTTGCTTCCTATGGGTCCAATCAGTAGAGGCGCATTGCCATGAGCATCCAGGTTCGGTGCAGGGCAGGCTGCGAGGCAGGGGATAGTATAGGGTAACAGTTGCTCCCTCGCGAGTTGGGTGCCGTATATCAGGAACTGCAGGTAGCTGCTGTGCTTCGTGCTCCGGGGTAGGCTGTGAAATTCTTCGCTCCGCTGTCGATGGCTCCATACTGCTAGCAGTCGTATCCATACTACACTTTGATCTTAGCCAAAAGGTCCAAAAGCGATGAATTCTTGGTGTGTAGAATCTATCTGGGTCCATTCTTTTTGAAATCGAACGAATTTAGGAGAGAGGTATGGGTTTTCTACTTCACAATCTTGCGAGACTGGGGCGTACCGCAAATCTCAAAGTCTTTTCAGTTCAGAGCGACAAGATTTCCCGAGAGCATTTCAAATTCATGTTTTTAAAGACGGTGTACCAGCGACCGTGAACTGTGGTGTGGCCCTTAATGCATGGAATAGATGTACCTCAACACTGATGTCTCAAAGAGTCTTCATGTTTGCATGACAAACTATAATTTGACCCGTAATAGAACTTTCAAACATAAGTTGATAAGAAGACTGTGATAACTAGAACATTTCAAGTCGATATTTCCATCATTTATAGATATTTCTGTCAATGCCTAGCACCATATCGAACCCGGTGGAAGTCGAGTAGCTATTTCAAACTATCGTCAACAAGTCACGAAAAGGAAAAGAATCAGCAACAGGCCACATCAGGCCTACACTTCAGCGCCGGGGTGAACATAACAACCGCGTTCAGCGCGGTTGTTATGTTATGTTAATATCATCTACTGCTGTTTGATATTTCATGCATGAAATCATGAAAATTAGAGCTGAAAGAAGCGTGTAACTAAATGCAGGCAAGAAATATGACTGATCATTCGATTGTCTTGAATTTAGCCAATTTTTATTCATTTTCGATAAAGAATGCATGTCATGAAAATAGTTGCAATAGTTAAAATTTCTTTAAATTATTTGACATAAATTAATAGAGACCCTTTTGTTAGCAGCCTATGTATACCCAGATAAATGTCACAAATACATTTTTAGGAATTAACAGAGGAAAATTGGAATGCAAGGTCAAAAATCAATAAAAGTTTGCCTTGTTAGTCTTTATAAATACTGGAACCAAATCTCAAGATTGAATAAATCTAACATTCTAGAGCAACAGTACCATTCTTAACTTTAGTTGCTCTCTGAAAGTTAAAATTGCTTAAATAATTTAGAGAGAAAGAATTTAGACTACACACTAACCTGTTCAGCAGATATTATATGACAAATTTCAAGAATTAGATGCTCCCATTTACAGTTGATTGTGATGAGAGTCAAGGGTCAACCTTTATTTCATCCGTCCATTTCATACATAATGACATCTCACATCAGTCACATGTCATGGCTCATACTCTCACTGGAAGTGATAGAATTTAGAAGGTGACCACCCTGAAAACAAAAGGTGAAATAAAACAAAAGGGTTTCAGATGTACATTTTATTATAGAATGAAGTAGACAACAGTACAGTCATGCAACTACTTGTTCTCCATACACATTATATATTGCCCCATGTTTATGTTACTCTTGAATGCCTTAGATGTTTATGCTTCTCTTGATGTCTTACAGATCTCTCAGTCTGGCTCTAGAACAGTAAACTAGCTGATTGATTAGCTACTAAAGTAGCAGTCAACTAGCTAGTTCATTTGAGAATTTTTCAAGTCTCCTTGCCAAATAAAATTATCAGGGTTAATTGTAGTGAAGCATGCAAATACTGTTAGTGACTCTTAAGTTATGGAAAATGCTGTCACGTGCTTAGAAGATGTATACAGGTTTTGTAACAAGGAGCAATCAATCTTAAAATACTATGCAATTGTCAACGAGTCAGCACCATGTCATCACTTGGTGGCTTGGTGCTGATTTTGAGTATGCTGGTACTTTTGTTTTAGAAAGCCTCAGTAAAAACTTGATTATTATAAGAGCATTAAGAGGTCTACATATAAATATTTTTGTATAGTTCAGCTACAACAACAATTAACAATGCACACAAATGTATAAAATGTAAATCATATAATGATCATAAGTTTCATAACCACATATTTGTTATTTATTAGACATTTGCACTACATTGTAAAAGGCAAGCAAATTAGCTGTTGAATTGCCAATCAGAGTTTACCATTTTTAATTATTTTAACACTGGTCAGTGTGGTTTATTCCAACAGTCATCACAATTATGAAGAAATATGAAATTTATTTAAATTCAAAGTTACCACAGAGTATGTGGTATATATATAATTATTATTAATGAGAACTTGATAAGCCTGCAACTGCTGAACTGTACAGAATTTTAGATAGAATTCTTCAAGGACAGAACCATTTGTAAACCTTAAAAAATATAGAAATAAGAAAAGTACATACTTTGAATTAGAATTTGTAAACTCATATGCACTGCACCAAATTTTTTGTACATAGTCATAGTGTGCCAACATCTATGATGTAAAACCTTGCAAGATTAAAAGTTTAAACTAATTATCTAATACAACCAATTGAATTAGGTAGGATGCATACTGCATGAGTGCATAGTACCACAAATTACAATAATTATTATTCATTACCAATACTATTTATCATGACATTATGCCATTATCTACTATGTGGCACCTGTTAAAAATATCTTATTCAAGATTCCAATGCTATAGCTCCTCTAGATCTCAATTGCAGCATAGAAACAGTAATATTGATTTGAATTGAAAATATCTGGACTTGCTTCAGAAGTTCAGATGCTTCAATGACATAGAAGAATAATGCCCAAAAGCAAGATTCTTGAATAAAAGCTCATACAGACCTCTTGAAAACTTGTGTGCTAAACAGCTAACAATAACAATTTCTTTAATTTCATACTAGCAAATGCTTGACTGCACACAGAGGAGATTTGAAGGGCAAATGTGTTTGCATTGGGTCATCAACTAATAGAGCAATTTTGAAAAATAATTTAAATGGGCAATTCATGGAAAGGACCATTTGTGAACCTTTTATCTGAATAATTTATGCAATAATTTTTCAGCATCCTTTGGTGGGGTAGAAGTATGGCTAGGTAAACTAAAGGAATTACAGATAGGAGACTGAGACTGACTCTGCTCTGAGCCCTGAGGCTCTGTATTGTTAAGATAAACAAACTTACAAAGGACACTTGTCTAAGATAAATAAAGGACACGTCGAATTGATTAAGACAGGAAGACAATATTACCTTGGTTGCCAGATGGCTTAAAAAACGGCCGAGTCCGCCAACGAAAAATGCCTTTTAACCCAATATATGCTACGCTTGTATATATATAGGTTCCGTCGCAAGAATTTCATTTTCATTTTTTTTCGGACATTTAAATCTTTATTAAGAAGTATGTACTGCAATCATAAATTCTATCCGGCCAAACTACTTTAAAACTACTAAATCGCGGAATTTGCAATAAGAAGGTCATCTGGCCACCAAGAATATTACAATAATTCATACAAACACTACAATACAACAAACTACACTCGTACATGAGAATAGCGAAGTACAGCCTATACTAAAATCTATATTATAATGAGTAAGTGGAAGCCTCAAATAACGATGTGCGAGGCAATGCCGAGGACTCGTTATAATTTGAATGAACAACTAGAGGATAAGCATTGTCGATAAATTTTTCGTAGCAGCAACTTTAGCAGCTTATTATGCACGAATAATGTACTCGGACGAACTGCTCGGAGAACCACTCAAATATAATCACTCTTCAATTCATCGCGCCCGGGGGTGGATAGCCAGAGGTCAGCATAGCCCAAGTCCACAGTGCGATTCATATACCTTCCCGAGCGTAACGCAGCCGGGCATCTTCACGGCTTTTGACACAA